GCTTCCATTAAATTTATCAAGTTATCATAAATGTTGCGTATTAACTATGATATGAATTGAGATTACTTGTACTTACAATCTCATAGGGCATCGATCGTCGACAATTGTGTCTTTTTGTAATCACAAAAACGATATGGAGCAAAATGAAAATTGAACTCACTTTGGGTACATTTGCATATATAAGTTAAAAATCAAAATGTAATATTGTATTCTCATTAATCCCATATCATTATTACATTATCACACCCTTTCACTCCCTTAATTACCACTCAATTACTTTCCATGTATTCAATATTATCTGATGACCACACAACTTTTTTCCCAAGTTAAGAAGGGCATCGTTGTTATTTCATTTCCAGATCCAGCCTTTATTTCCTCTTTTTTTTTTTATAAATAAAATAACTATATTTCCTCTCAAAGATGTAAAAATAAATAAATATCTCATTTTATTTTCAATTTTTTAAGATAAATTTCTCTGTCTTCTCCCCCTCAATTCGCCTTTACCCTAAAGACAAATGTTCATTCCTACATAAAGCTCCTCTCTTTAGCACACCCCCAGTCTCTTCATCCACACCGCCCCCTTTCTCTATCTATACACAGTCTCTCTCTCTCTCTAAAACCTCTACCAGTCACCTCTCTCTCTCTCTCTCTCTCTGAGGGTCTTTAAGTATGACGGAACCATAATGCAAATCTTTACATGCAGAAAAATCCTTGCTGCTTATGAAATTTTGATAAGTACCATTCACATTTATTGAGGGTAATTTTTTCTAATGGCTTGCAGTAACAGTTACGAGCGAACAGCATCGGACCTTCTCTGTAATGAAGAAGCCAAAAGCTTGTGCCTTGATGATGACGATCTTGTTGATCCTTTCAGTGACGTCAGCTGTCAAACAGATGATAATAAAGGCATGAGCTTTGTTAATGGCGGACAAGATTCTGAGCCTTTGGTTCATTTTCCATGTGTGAGTGAAGAGAGCATTGGTTTGATGGTTGAGAGAGAAATTGAACACATGCCCAGAGATGATTATCTCAATAGGCTCAGGACTGGGGATTTGGATTTGAGTGTGAGAAGAGAGGCTGTTGAGTGGATGTGCAAGGTGAAGTGATTCTTTTGAGATTTGATTTGATTTTTTCTTGATCATTTGTATAATCAATCAATCGGGTTTTGATTTTCTTCCTGTTTCTTCATTTGATTCCTCCATTGATCAGCATTGAGTCTTCATTTTCATCTCTAATGCTCTTTTAGTACTTGTTGATTTTTCTCATCAATTTTCTAAAAATGGGGTTTTCCCTCAATGAGTTTTCATCTAAAAAGGGGTTGAAAATAAGATGCTCATTAGATTTACTGTATTTTATCATAATTCATTCATTTAATGTTTTCTTGGGCAATTTAATTATCTTCATTGATGTTGAGCATTTTGTTCAACTCTCTGTTTCTCTCTTTTAATAATTGCAAATGCATCACAAAGGTTTTTTTTACTTATTCTTGATTTGTGAGCTGTGTTAATTGATCTTTGCAGGCTAATGCTCACTACAGATTTGGAGCACTGTGTTTGTGTTTGGCTATAAATTACTTTGACCGATTTCAATCTGTGTATGACCTGCCTGTGAGTTCCCAATTGAAATGTCATTTTGTTTTATAGTGATTAAATTCTTATTGTCTCCATTCTTGATTTGTCACAATTTTCTTGGTGTTCACAGAGAGGTAAGACATGGGTGTTTCAGTTGTTAGCTGTGGCTTGTTTATCACTAGCGGCCAAAGTGGAGGAAATTGAAGTTCCTTCCACAGTGGATTTACAGGTCAAATTAACATATATTCCACTTGCATTAATTTTTCAATGTGCCTATGAATTTATTTTATCGATCTTATTGTTAATCTGGATCGGTGGAACAGGTCGGGGAACCAAAATTCTTGTTTCAAGGTAAAACCATACAAAGAATGGAGCTTTTGGTACTGAGCATTTTGAAATGGAAAATGCAAGCTTATACTCCGTGCAACTTCATCGACTATCTCCTCCGGAGAATGGCGAAAAACAATGAGTTCCCATCAGGGCCATTGATTACTAGATCAGTTCAACTGATCTTAACCGCAATCAAAGGTCTCTCTTAAATAGTGATTAGCAATGTACTTCCATTATTTCTATAATTTGATGTTTTGATTGAATGCTTGGTTTGGAAATTGACTGTAGGTATCGACTTCTTGGAATTCAGGCCATCTGAATTAGCTGCAGCAATAGTAATGTATGTTTCAGGGGAAGAAATACAGGCAATGGACATTGATAGGAACCTGTCTGGTTTCATAAGAGTAGAGAAGGTAATCTATGTCTGTCCCCACTTCAATAAAATCTTAGATAAGACAACATTTTTCTTCTTGCTTTGACCCATTAGTATTAGCAACTTGGTCATTTTGCATAATTTTAAAAAATAAGTTCATCAACTCTGAATTTCTGCAGGGAAGAGTGTTGAAGTGCCTTGAACTTATTCAGGATATGACATCAATTAGTAAGATTTCTTCTTCTTCTACCATTACTGCAAATATGGCTACTGGCATTGTTCCATCATCAGTGCCCCAAAGTCCAAATGGGGTGTTGGAGGCTGCTAGCTTGAGCTATAAGAGTGATGAGAGAAACCCAAATTCTTCAGATGCCAAAAGGAGAAGATTGGACTAAATGTGAATATCAGTTTTGGTGAAATGGGAGGCTTTGGTATGAGGTTTCAAAAGTGCCCTTTGAAAGAAAAAAAAAAAAAAAAAAAAAAAAAATTA